TGAAAGTTTAACTCTCTATGAGAACCATAAGATTATGAAATATTGAAGAGATATAAGAATTTAAATAAGATGATAAATTGCTGACAAAATGTTATAACGATGAAAGTGGGAGCGGGAGATGTGAGGAAGTCCAAAGAAAATGTGAAACTATGTTAAGACAAATGTTATATTGTTTACTATGTTTATTCTTACTGTAAAACCCAATAAATTGCTTTAAAAAAAAAAAAAGAAAGAAACTAGTGGAACTGGTGCCATCTTAAATTAAGGTAGTGTAAATTGCCCCATTCCAAAATTCAGAAGCGGGGCTATGAGCCAAACTCCATTCGTTCTAGAGGTCCATTCTTAACCTGAAACTGTTCTTAACCTGAAGCACCACTTTAGCTAATGGGGCCTCCCGCTTCCACGCCGACGGAGCACGATTTCTGTTCTCATCCTGAAGCAAAGTTCTTAACCTGAAGCACTATTTCTGGGTTAGCAGAGTCTGTAACCTGAAGCGTATGTAACCTGAAGCGTATGTAACCCGAGGTACCACTGCAATTATGAGTTGTGGAGGACGTTCTAGTGCGCTGTGAGAAAACTGCTTGCATACCATGAGAAATATATTAAATTTAAAGTCTTCTTTGCTCCTAAAGCAGCCCTTCATAGAGGGAATGTATCTCTGTTACTTTCTTCCAACCAGCCTCTGCTCTGGGGATGGGCAAATTTCTCTGCTAGGGATGAAAGCATTTATTTACTCGCTTAGTGCAGATACAGCACAACTGCATATCTTTGGAGAAGATTGCCTGTTGCATTCTTGTATAAAGCATCGCTCCCGGACTATGCAGAATTAGATAAACTAACAGGAAGGATTTGAAACTGGCGGGACCATAAATTCATGGAAGACTGGAGTAAATTTACAGACTATTTGAAAAGTATTTGTGAAGATCAGACGACGTTTGTAGGTTTGCAAGAAGTTTTGTGAGGAGTATTATTGGAAGTATTGCAAAAATGGAGAAGGGGAAGGATGATTTGTTAAGAGATGTAAAGGCAATATTAAATTAAGAAATGCATAAGAATTGGTTAAAACGGATCATCAGAGGTGCTGATGGAAGTCTAAAAAGATTGTATAAGTGATAAGTTTTGTGGTACAATTGATAATTTATATGTTAAAATCAATAAAAATTATTTTAAAAATAAAATAAATAAAGCATCACTCCCGGGCCTCTTGCTGTGTAAGCAGGAGCAATAACATTCAGAACAGAATGTTTGTACAGAAACTGAGGGTGGACTTCGCTACAGTGAATAGCTTTCGCAGGCTCTAAATGTAAATCCTTTAGGATGCAAGAACAACGCATTCTTACCATTTTCAATTTTTAAAAAAAAGTGCCGTTGCTATCAGACGTTTGGAAATGCCGAGGTAAAGTTTTGGAATACAGAGGCTTGAGAGCAATAGTGCATAGAGGAAGAAGGCTCAAAAGGAAGTTTCTACAATGCGTCCCCATGGTTTTATTTATTTATTTATTAATTCCTATACCCCTTTATATTTTTAAGAAAAATCTCAAAGCGGTTTACAGCACATTAAATCAATAAAACATAAAACCATCTGAAGAAAGTCAAATATAGAGTATACACTCAAAGCAACGTGACAGAAAATATGACTAAACGTGACTAAAATATTATCGTAAGGATTTCAGAATAAAACATTGCAAAGGAGGTCAGCTACAGAATACATATTTAACAGAGTAGGCCAGGTGGAAAGGGCCTTGCAGGGAGCTGGTTTTCTGACCACAAATGCCGTTTGCTGAGCGAATGGTGACAAAACACACGGAGCGTGATTTTCAGTATGCGTGCAACCATCTCAGCGCATAGCTATGATGTGCTGGAAGTTTTTAATGTTTGATGTTTCATTGTGTTTTTAATATTCGGTTGGGAGCTGCCCAGAGTGACTGGAGAAACCCAGCCAGATGGACGGGGTATAAATAATAAATTGTTGTTTAGTCGTTTAGTCATGTCCGACTCTTCGTGACCCCATGGACCAGATCACGCCAGGCACTCCTGTCTTCCACTGCCTCCCGCAGTTTGGTCAAACTCATGCTGGTAGCTTCGAGAACACTATCCAACCATCTTGTCCTCTGTCGTCCCTTCTCCTTGTGCCCTCCATCTTTCCCAACATCAGGGTCTTTTCCAGGGAGTCTTCTCTTCTCATGAGGTGGCCAAAGTGTTGGAGCCTCAGCTTCAGGATCTGTCCTTCCAGTGAGCACTCAGGGCTGATTTCCTTCGGAATGGAGAGGTTTGATCTTCTTGCAGTCCATGGGACTCTGAAGAGTCTCTTCCAGCACCATAATTCAAAAGCATCAATTCTTCGGTGATCACCCTTCTTTATGGTCCAGCTCTCACTTCCATACATCACTACTGGGAAAACCATAGCTTTTACTATACGGACCTTTGTTGGCAAGGTGATGTCTCTGCTTTTTAAGAGGCTATCTAGGTTTGTCATTGCTTTTCTCCCAAGAAGCGGGCATCTTTTAATTTTGTGGCTGCTTATTATTATAGGTCAGAGCCAAGCATGTCATTCTTTCCCTCAAAAGAAAACAAAAAAATCCTGATTGTAATGCTGACTACATTAGACATGACAAACACTTCACGGGTTATACAGGGTATTAAGAGAAATATATTTTGAAGTTCATAGGGCTTTCTGTAGGTTCTCATAGGAACAGAACTGTATATTCTGCTCAGTGAGTACTCCTAACTGCCTGCTCTACCTGAAGAGCTAAGATTGCGTCCAATACAACAGTTGCTGACAGAAATTTGCTGGTTAACAGAAACTTGGGAGTAGCTAGGTGATGGAATACAAAACTTGGGTATCGTTTCAGCCGAGATTTTATCTCGCTGTTTATTCAACGCTTCTAATTACCGGTACATGAGATGAAAATGCATGAAAAAAAAATAGAGGGGCAAGCAGAGAGGGTTGCCTTTTTCTTATTTCCACTGGAATTAGTGATAGAAGGAAGCGTCAGTGGGTTTTATGGGGCTGCTTGCGAAAGGGTCCCTGGGCAGGGTTTTTGAAATGAGCAACATGTACAAAACAAATAACAAATGCTGGAAATTTAGGGAAAAAGAAGGTACTTTTTACCATATGTGGTGGGAATGTAAGAAAGTAAAGGACTTCTGGGAAATGATTTATAATGAGATTTTAAAAATGTTGAAATATACATTTGCAGAAAAACCAGAAGCCCTTTTACTTGGTATAAGAGATTTACAAGCATGATAAAAATTTGTTTTTATATGTGACAACTGCAGCAAGAATACTGTTAGCCCAGCAATGGAAGCAAGAAGAACTACCAACTACCAACTAAAGAGTGGCAGATGAAACTGATAGATTATGCCGAGTTGGCGAAATAAACTGGGAAAATTTGGAACCAGCAAGACCAGACTTTCCTGAAAGATTGGAAGAAAATTATGATATATCTGAAAGACAATTGTAATCAACTGACATCGCTTTTAGGGTTGCAAGAAGTTTTGTAAGGAGAACTGTATGAATTATTGCAAAAAAAGGACCAAGAAGGAGTTTATTTAGGATTTGGATTTTATAGCAATAACTATTAAAATACAAAATCGGAAAGAAAGTTAGAAAACCATTAGTCAAGGTTGACGGAAGTCCTAGGCTGTGATAGCCAAAGGTTTGTTATACTGTATAAGATGGGCTGTTTGGGAAAGGTGCAAAACCTAATAAAATTATATATATATATATATATTATATAAAATGAGCAACATGACTTTAGCTCTGATGCACAAATGGGAAAAATATTTGGTTCTGGTACAGCGATATGTGGGGTCCATGAAGAAATGGGATAGGCGTGGACTCATGGAGGGCTTTAGCGTACAAAAAATGGATTCAAAAAATGTGCTGCTTCAGGTGTGAAGATGTGCCCTTGGGTTTTTTTTGCAGTTTGGCATACCAAACAGGTAACAGTAGTAAATTTATGGTGCTGCTCTATTGAGCCAGAAGAGGGCATTGCAGCAGTATGGCAAAAGCATCATTCCACCTTTCTCAAAACCCAAAACTGCTGCTTTGATGAATCCTGAAAGGGAGACAGAACAAAATAAAACAGCAGATGCGACAGACCATAATATGCGAGTGATGCTGGTATTGTTATTATTTATTACATTGATTAGTTGCTTATGACATATAATGTCTCAGAGTAAGTTATGATGATAGAAGTGCCACAAATAAAAAAAAAACACCTTAACACAATGGACAAGAGTATGTGTAATATACTCCTATTAAAATACCATTAAATTAGGTTATGTTTACTTTTTAGAATGGCATACTGTTATGCTCACTCCAGATCTCTGAGGGCTGAGAACTCAAGGGGTACACCAGCTGTGAAGCCAGGTTCTGCTACCTTGAAATGAGGTCACGGGGCTTGTGGCATTCTTGTGATGATGTTGTTGTCATGTCCAACTCTTTGTGACCCCATGGACCAGAGCACGCCAGGCACTCCTGTCTTCCACTGCCTCCAGCAGTTTGGTCAAACTCATGCTGGTAGCTTCAAGAACACTGTCCAACCATCTTGTCCTCTGTCGTCCCCTTCTCCTTGTGCCCTCCATCTTCCCAACATCAGGGTCTTTTCCAGGGAGTCTTCTCTTCTCATGAGGTGGCCAAAGTATTGGAGCCTCAGCTTCAGGATCTGTCCTTCCAGTGAGCACTCAGGGCTGATTTCCTTCAGAATGGAGAGGTTTGATCTTCTTGCAGTCCATGGGACTCTCAAGAGTCTCCTCCAGCACCATAATTCAAAAGCATCAATTCTTCGGTGATCACCCTTCTTTATGGTCCAGCTCTCACTTCCATACATCACTAGGGAGCTGGCGTTTGTCCACAGACACTTCTGGGTCCACAGACACTTCTGGGTCATGTGGCCAGCATGACTAAGCCACTTATGGCAAACCAGAGCAGCGCACGGAAATGCCGTTTACCTTCCCGCTGGAGCGGTATCTATTTATCTACTTGCACTTTGACGTGCTTTTGAACTGCTAGGTTGGCAGGAGCTGGGACCGAGAAACGGGAGCTCACCCCATCGCAGGGATTCGAAACACCAACCTTCCGATCGGCAAGCCCTAGGCTCTGTGGTTTAGACCACAGTGCCACCCGCATCCCTATTGTTGTTGTTGTTTAGTCGTGTCCGACTCTTCGTGACCCCATGGACCAGAGCACGCCAGGCACTCCTGTCCTCCACTGCCTCCCGCAGTTTGGTCAAACTCATGCTGGTCGAGAACACTGTCCAACCATCTCGTCCTCTGTCATCGCCTTCTCCTTGTGCCCTCCATCTTTCCCAACATCAGGGTCTTTTCCAGGGAGTCTTCTCTTCTCATGAGGTGGCCAAAGTATTGGAGCCTCACCTTCAGGATCTGTCCTTCCAGTGAGCACTCAGGGCTGAATTCCTTAAGAATGGAGAGGTTTGATCTTCTTGCAGTCCATGGGACTCTCAAGAGTCTCCTCCTGCACCATAATTCAAAAGCATTCATGGATCACTGCCTTGCTGTGGCGAAGGGGCTTGAATAACTCAGAGAAGCTATGAGCTATGCCGTGCAGGGCTACCCAAGATGGACAGGTCATAGTGGAGAGTTTTGACCAAACGTGATCCACCTGGAGCAGAAACTGGCAAGCCACTCCAGTATCCCTGCCAAGAAAACTCCATGGACAAAGACAACAGGCATATAAAAAGGCAAAAGGTAAATCTGGCTAATCCCCAGACACATTTTCAACAGCTCCCTGCAATACACACCCCTCTCCCACAGGATGGGACTGCCTGTCATCTTATGAACCTTTGAAAGAAAGCAGCAGAAAATAACATCTGTTTGCTGAAGCTACCCAAGCTTTGAAAGCAGCTCCTGAGCAGTATCTTAACCCACTGGTATCTGGCCCACTGGTTGGTTTAATCCGGCCCCTGTGGCAGTTTATTTCCTGGGGTAAAATCCTAAAAAACCCTCAACAACTTCAACCCTAAAAATCACTCAACAACTTCAACCCTAAAAATAGGTTAACAACTTTGGTCTGCCCTCACGGCCCTTCACTTCATCAAATCTGGCCCTCTTTGAAAAAAGTTTGGACATCACTGCCCTTAGAATGCACTTGTGATGTTCTTCAAAGAAATCGAAAACAGCAACCGTTTGTTTCCTTGCCAATAAGGAGAGACATGTAGAGAGAAGAGAGATTTTAGGAAAGCTGAAAACTTCTACTTCCCCACCGCTTCTTTGAGATCAATACATTCTTGCTCTCATTGAAGAGATAAATCTAGATAGACTTTCCAAAGCTCAGATTCAATAATTTTGTCCTTTGATGATAATTTCAGGCACCAATTTACATCTCATATTGTTAAGCAGTCATTTTTCACGTCAACTTGAATTTTTGAGCTGTCCAAGTGTTGAAATGGCCCGTTTTGGCCTGGCTGCCCATTAATAAAAGCTCTGGGAGGTGGTGACAGTGATCTTTTTAACCATCCGAAAACACTCATGGATAAGCTATCTGTTTATTGCACTGATTGTGCAGATAAAGAAACAGGCATCGAGAGAGATCAGCTTGATGAATAGGCAAGGTTTACTCTGAGTCAGGGCTAAGCCCCAGATTGTTGAGTTATTAATCCATTGGCAAACATCTCTTGCTGAAAGAAAACACTTATCTTAACCCCGAACTCTGCCAGCATTACTGTACTGTAACTTGCAACCTATCTGGATCGCACAAAGGTTTTTTGTCCTTCCCATCTCCCCAAAATGTATTTGTTGTGGCAGCAGCAGCAGCGGCAGCCTTAATTTTTTTTATTGTTTTCTATGTCCCTCTGTGCCTTTCTGCCATTTTAACTTGCTCCCTGTGTTTCTGGAGGTCCTGATTCCCCCAGAAATCCTTATGGTTCCCTACAGAGGCTATTATCTAAATCACCAGATCTGCCAGAGCTGTCACATTGGCTCTTGTCCATAGCTGTCAACTTACAGATTTGAAAATAAGGGACCAGCAGCCTCGAAAAAAAGCGATCAGCAGCCAAAATAAGGGATTTTAGTCAACCAGCAGCCAAAGGAAGCCTCAAGCGGTGGTTCCCACAGTGCAGCAACCCAGCAAAGGGGATGCAGCAAGGAAAACCACCGTCACCTCTCCACTGGGAAGCGCTGAGCAAAGGCGAGTCCCCAGGCAACGCGGCCGATTTGATCGGCACAAGGCATGCAGGCTCCACCCTCCCAGTCGTTCTTAGACTCCTTATTGGGTGAGCAATGCAGCCAAGCAACACAGTTGGAGCCTCTGTCCTCCCTGGCTGGCAGGGAGGGAGGGAGGGAGAGGAGCTGCTTCCTTTGAAACCCGGGAAATTTAAGGGACATCATCAATAAGGGACAGCAGCGGGACACGGCGCTGGGATAAGGGACTTTCCCGCCAAATAAGGGATGGTTGACAGCTATGCTCTTGTCAGAAATAGTATACCTGAGCCAACTCTGAGCTAAGGAGAGACCAAAGAGCGACTTTAAAAGCATGTAGGTTTTTGTTATTTAAGGCCAGCAACTTTAAGAAAGAGATGTGCATAGCGGTGTATCAGGGATGGGATTGTAGGAAGGAGTTATTCCTCTCAGCAATAGTTTGGCTTTATTTATTTTCAGTAGGAAAGCCAGATAAATTGTCTTACTCAAAGGAACCCCCTCTTTCCTCTTGCTCATCCATCATAGGCACACCACGGTGTTATTTTTCTAGCAAAAGAGGTGCCAGAACTCACCATGTTCTCTTATAATGTCAATGGCGCCCACCTGAGAGGTGTCAGAATTGAGTTCCGGTGAGTTCTGGCTGGAAAAAAATCCCTGGATGTACATTATTTAACAAAGCATGTAAATATTGAGATTGGTTGCAGGCATTAGGTAGTACCACGCTCAATGTTGTAGCAGATTATTCCAGAGATTGCCGTGTGTCAATGGTAGTGTCCTCACTCTGTTGTTGCTTCTGATGTGTTCAATAAAATGTGCCATGTTTCCTCAGAATCCTCTCTCTCTCTCTCTCTTTAGCTTTAGGTCGCTTGGATGTTTCTAGTAAAGGTAAAGGGACCCCTGACCATTAGGTCCAGTCGTGGCCGACTCTGGGGTTGTGGCACTCATCTCACTTTATTGACCGAGGGAGCCAGCGTACAGGTCATTTGGCCAGCATGACTAAGCCGCTTCTGGCGAACCAGAGCAGCGCACGGAAACGCCGTTTACCTTCCCACCGGAGCTGTACCTATTTATTTACTTGCACTTTGACGAGCTTTCGAACTGCTAGGTTGGCAGGAGCAGGGACCGAGCAACGGGAGCTCACCCCGTCGTGGGGATTCGAACCACCGACCTTCTGGTCGGCAAGTCCTAGGCTCTGTGGTTTAACCCACAGCGCCACCCGCGTCCCTGAATGTTTCTACCATGAGCACAATGTTCCAGGTGTAGAAGGTAAAATGAACTGACATTAGGATACATTCCTGGAGAGCATCCTTTCTCTGTATAGGGGATGCAAGGTCCCTGAAGTTCAAAAGACAGCATTTCTTCTCCACGTGGCAGCATTGAGACAGGGATGGGAGCAAGGAATCTTCAGAGAACAATCCTTGAAGGCGGCCAGACAACCCTCAGAGGAGTGGCAGAGAAGGGTTGGCCACTCCTAGTAGTAGCCACTGCTCCTGTAGGGCTCCAGTGGGATAGTTGGATTTGATCCTTTAAGCCAGTGTTTGTTTGTTTGTTTGATCGAAAAAAACAACTGGTTGTTTTTAACGGTCATGGTTTATGGAACTGCTGTATATCGATGTGCATGCTCCCACATGTGCAAGTTCTTCTTCAGACCCTTGCGCATTCAGTAGGATGGCACTTAAAAATGGAAAGCGTAATGCTGGTGGTCAACAAAAGAGGTTTAAAGACTCTCTCAAGGCAAATCTAAAAAAATATAAATAGTATAAACACTGACAACTGGGAAACACTGGCCTGCGAGCGCTCCAGTTGGAGAACACCCTTGACCAAAGGTATCATGGACTTTGAAGATGCTTAACTCAGGATGAAAGAGAGAAACATGCTAAGAGGAAGGCACATTTGGCAAACCCATGATCAACTCCCGCCCAGAAACCTATGTCCCCACCATGGAAGGATGAGTGGATCCAGAATTGACCTCCACAGTCACTTACGGACTCACTGTTAAGACCATGTTCATGGAAGACAATCTTACTTGGCTACGAGGGATTGCCAAAGAAGAAGGCAGAGGGGATTTCTGAGTGTATTCATGGGTTTAATTCCAATTGGGAATCTCAAGGTTCCTAAGCACAGGAAAATTCTAAGTGTTGTTGTTTAGTCATTTAGTCGTGTCCAACTCTTAGTGATCCCATGGACCAGAGCACGCCAGGCACTTCTGTCTTCCACTGCCTCCCGCAGTTTGGTAAGACTCATGTTAGTAGCTTCAAGAACACTGTCCAACCACCTCGTCCTCTGTCATCCCCTTCTCCGTGTGCCCTCCATCTTTCCCAACATCAGGGTCTTTTCCAGGGAGTCTTCTCTTCTCATGAGGTGGCCAAAGTATTGTAGCCTCAGCTTCACGATCTGTCCTTCCAGTGAGCCCTCAGGGCTGATTTCCTTCAGAATGGAGAGGTTTGATCTTCTTGCAGTCCATGGGACTCTCAAGAGTCTCCTCTAGCACCAGAATTCAAATGCATCCATTCTTCGGCGATCAGCCTTCTTTATGGTCCAGCTCTCACTTCCATACATCACTACTGGGAAAACCATAGCTTTAACTATACGGACCTTTGTTGGCAAGGTGATGTCTCTGCTTTTTAAGATGCTGTCTAGGTTTGTTATTGCTTTTCTCCCAAGAAGCAGGCGTCTTTTAATTTCATGACTGCTGTCACCATCTGCAGTAATCATGGAGCCCAAGAAAGGAAAATATCTCACTGCCTCCATTTCTTCCCCTTCTATTTGCCGGGAGGTGATGGGCCCAGTGGCCATGAACTTAGTTTTTTTGATGTTGAGCTTTAGACCTGGAGCAGGAACCGGAAAGCCACTCCAGTATCCCTGCCAAGAAAACTTCATAAGTGTTTTAATATAAATGTCCTTAGCGTCTGCTTGAACATGAGGAGGTCTGAAGGATGGTGGGGGTTAAGGCTTGTGTGTGTGTTCCCTCCTGACTTTAAGCCCAAACACCTGAATAGGTTGTTTGTTTTCTACATACAAATACAGGTATGCATAGTCC